AAAAACTTGCTTCAAATGCGGTAGTGACAAACATCTGATCAAATCTTGCGATCAAAAAGGCCACGAGGAAGATATATCGTATATATACTCGATGGATATCAAATCTTGTAAAGAAAAATTCAAAATCAATCTAAGTATAGAGGGTAAGGAAATAAACATGATCCTAGATACAGGAGCATCAGTATCAATTATTTCTTAAAAGACTTGGAATACAATCAACTCCGATAAAATGATTCATGATTCGGGCACAAAATTAAGACGAAGGTAACGAAATAGCCATTATAGGTAGCGTGGAAGTGAAAGTTCAAATAAAAGATATCATAAAAAATCTACCTTTGGTTATAGTGAAATCTGATGGACCATCATTGGTAGACATTAACTGGCTGAAGGAATATAGAGAATTGATATGGAAAGAATCAATATTAGGAGGGACCGAAGATGCATACGATAATAATAATAATATATATTACATGGGACAAGAATTGAAAGCGGTAACGGAAAAATACATAACAATATTCGATAAAAAGTTAGGAAAATTGAACAATATGGAAGTCCATCTGAATATAAAAGACAATGCGACACCAAATTTTGCGCCCCTAGAAAAATTGCATATGCTTTAGAAGAAAAGATTGATGAGGAACTAAAAAATGGATCGAAAACGAAGTAATAGAACCTATAAAGTATTCGGAATGGGCCAGTCCTCTGGTGCCCATAATTAAGTCCAACGGGAGTATAAGGCTTTGCGTAGACTACAAAATAACTATAATAAATCCATGGATGATAGCGGATATATACCCTATCCCTAGAATACAGGAAATATTTAATAAATTAAGAAAAGGGGAAAAGTTTTCAACCATTGACTTTTCAAATGCATACCACCAAGTAGTAATAGATTCTGATTCGAGAAAGCATTTAGCTATTAACACTCAAAAAGGTCTGTTTCAATTCAAAAGAATGCCATTCGGAATAACTTCGGCGTCAGCAATATTCCAAAAGACTATGGATCTAATTTTCGGGAAAATGACAGGAGTAGCATACTAATTTGACGATCTAATAATCACAGGTTCTTCGGATGAAGAACATCAAAATAATCTAGAAAAAGTATTCCAACGAATGGCGGAATTCGGTCTTAAAGCAAATTACGAAAAGAGTAAATTTCTTAAAGAAAAAATAAAATATCTAGGTCACGTTATATCCAGTAGAGGTCTTATGCCCTCAGAGGAGAAGCTAGAAGCCATAAAGTATGCTCCAACTCCGGAGTCAATTAATGAATCGCAGTCGTTATTAGGCCTCATGAATTATTACCATCGATTCATAAAAAATTTTTCAACGATTGTGGCACCCCTCTATGATTTATTAAAGAGAGGTAACACTTTCCTATGGACGGAAGAATGCAGATCAAGTATTGAGATATTAAAAAAATGCTTGAGCAATCCTCCAATAATCGTTCATTTTGATCCAGATAAAGAGATCCAACTCACTACGGACGCATCTATGAAAGGTGTAGGAGCCGTACTATCTCATACCGAAAAAGATGGATCTGAGAATCCCATATGTTTTGCTTCACGGACACTATCAATGGCAGAAAAAACTACTCAACTATTGAAAGGGAAGCATTAGGGCTCGTATTCGGAGATAAGAAATTTTATGAATATTTAGTAAGTCAAACTTTTACAATATGGACCGACCATAAACCACTTGTTTATATATTCGGTAACAAAAGTTCGGCAAATATAACGTCACCACGATTGTTCATATGGTCTCTAATGCTAGGAGAGTACAATTGCGAGATAAAATACAAGGCTGGTAAGGAAAACAATGTGGCAGACGGACTCTCAAGATGCCCAATGGAAGATAATACCAAAGATCATTGAAGAAGTATATTTTATAAACGAGTATCCGATATCAGCAGATGAAATTCGGAAAAAACTAGATAACGACGATACGTTAAAAAAGGTAAAGGAAAGTATAAAAACTCAATTCAAGGTAAAAGATGACAAATAATATGAAATTTGCAAAAACAATTTATGGGAAAAAGATGGATGTTTATATAAAGGGGAAAGAATAATAATTCCAACATAATTGCGGAAAAAAATACTAAACGAATTACATAGTGGTCATCAAAGAATCGTCAGAATGAAAAGCTTAGCTAGGCAAATGTATGGTGGCCCGGAATCGACCGTGAAATAGAAGAACTATGCCATCAATGCGAATCGTGTAATACATGGGCAAACAATCCTCCAAAAGTATAAGATCACCATTGGGAGAAACCGACAAGACCGTGGCAAAGAGTTCATATAGATTTCGCAGGACCGTTCAAAAACACCATGTGGCTAATATTGGTAGACGCTTTTACCAAATGTGTTGAGGTAAAAGGAATGACGGCCACCACATCAGAGAGAACCATGGGGGTATTAGGTGAAATATTTTCTAGATGGTGATATCCGGAATCGTTAGTATAAGATAACGGATCGCAATTTACTAGTTATTCATTCAAAGAATATTGCAAGAGACATAGAATAAAGCACATACTGACCCCTCCTTACCACCCGAGCTCCAACGGATAGGCGGAACGGATGGTAAGAACAGTTAAAACTGCCACGGAGAAAAATGCAACCAATCACAAATACGATAATTTAAACGAATTCTTATTAGCTTATAGAAACACCCAGCACACGACTACAGGACAAACCCCTGCACAGATAATGTTTGGACGGAATGCTCGGAGACGATACGCACGCAGATCAAAGAGGTACATTTTTCAAGATAGGACAATCAGTATGGACGAAAACTTATAGTGACAAAGTAAAGTGGATCAAGGGGACTATAGTGGGCCGATCGGGGAAGTTCATTACTGTGGATACCGCTAAGGGCCAATGGAAGAGACATAAGGATCAAATTAGAAAATCTTTTTAAAAAAGGGAGATGTTATGAAATCTTAAGTAGATATTATTATTTTTATTTCTTTTATCGATTTTTTGGATTGTAATTATTTTTTATTTTCTTTTATCGATTTTTTTGAATTGTGACTAATTTTTTTTGACCAATTCTTGGAATTTTTATTTTTTGAAAAAGATTTTGTTTTTTTTTCTTCGAAAAATGAAATAAAAAAGTTGTATGAAAAATAATAAAATTGAAAAAAAGAAAATCCATTTCAGCATTAAGGAAATATATTATTTAAGATTACGTAAAATCTTGACTTAGAAATTCGGCGACTTAGCAATTCAACAAATAATAAATTTAACAAATAGCATGCTCAGGTAAAATAGCTAAACGTAGTAAATATTTATATTTCAATCACTGATTAAATTTATTTTTTATTTCAGTATCAATATCATAGGAATAAAATTTTGCTAAATATTTAATTTTACTAATAGTGGCATTAGAAAACGAAGAAGGATCTTTGGGTAATAAAACTTGAAGATTGCTAAAGACTTGTTTTTTATCTAAAAACCGCACTTTTATTTGCGATAAAAAGTATCTAAGAATGGGTTGAAAATGGATATTTTATAATATTCTTCAGTTGAGCCAATATTTATTTTACATCTCAGTAATTGCCTAGGTGCTAAACGAGGTTTAATTAGTGTTATATCATAAAATTTAGCCTTCGATTCAACGTCTAGATAAATATTATGACATCTACATTCATTCATATTGTATCTACCTGTTCATATATATTTTCCGCCACATCAATAACCTGAATCAAATCTAAATTTGATTTTTGTAAATTTCTACAAAGTAGTGAGCTATAGGAAAATAATTTATTGATGCAACTAGCAGCAATAAACTATGATTGATCAATTGAATTCAATAATGATATCGCTTCTGACGACACATTACTTTTTTTCATGCTCAGTTTTATTTAACTTTTGTATTTCTATTTCTTTTGTTCTACAAAATGGAAATAAAAATGAAAAATATTTTATAGATATTTATTAATAATTAAAATATTATTAAAAATACTTATTAATTCTTACTCACTAATAATTTTGAATTTAATAAAATAATTATATATAATAATAAAATAAATTACCGTTTGATTTCAATCTCTTTGACTAAAATTATTCCATTTTATTAATATTTTTGAATAATATGTTGGAAAATTGATATTCAAATATTTGTAAAATTTTGATTTGGAAGTGGGAGAGGGGGGGTGGGGGGGGGGGTAAAAATTTTATTAGCTTAAAATGATATTTATGAAAACAGTCAAATTTGCAATGGGGGGGGAATCCCCCCCCCATTGGTTACACGCCTGCCCAGTGAAATAGTTTTTTTCTACCACGGGGTGGATTTTGAATTCAAGGAAAACATCATTATGTCCCGAAAATTTAAATAAAAGTATTTTTATACATGATTATTATAAAATTACGAAATTGATTTTATATTTATAATGAATTTTCTTTTGATAAAGATTAAAAAATATGCCGAAATAGGTCAGTGTATATTTTATTTTATTTTTTTCAAAAAAATTTATTAGTAATAAAAGAAATATATATTATAAAATTTTAACTGCGCTGATTTACGCCGCATTGGTTGACGGCGGCTAAAAATCGGCGCGCCGCCGGCCTCCAATTAGATTTTTGAAGTTCGCGCCGGTCGCCGATAGTTTCTTTGGCGCACAGGTCTAGGTAATATTCATTTTAAAAATAAAAAATGTATTTGTATTCTTCTGAAAATCGCGAATTCGTAATAAATACAAAGTACTTTTTATTTTTTATTATTTAAAACAAATATTTAATATTATTTAAAATATTGAAATAGTTACTAAATATAAATACCAAAAAGTATTTATATTTCCCAACCCTGCATGAAGTTATTATTATGAACACAAATCCTAATAAATATTAGGTAATATAATATATATATATATATAAGATTATGATATGATTATCTATAACTTTCAAGCACAGAATATTCACTTTTATCATCGTGCTAAAAAAGGCTTTTTTTGATAGGCCTGCTCATATTAAAAAATTATTATTGAATAAAAACTTGATTAGCCACAATAATACTTGACACCATATGTTTGAGCTCGGATGCCGGGAGGACTACTATGAAAGATATGGAGGTGATTGAAAGGTTGCAAAGCCATTTGCCAGGCCTCGCTGGAGACCGAGACAAATTGTACGAAAATTTAACCAAAGCCAAATGCGATATATCTTGTAACATATTTTTTGATGAATTGTTTCATTTTTTTGCTATAAAATTAATATCATCATAATTTGAAATACTAATATGGTCTTCTTTTATTTGAATGCTACAAAACAGTCATTGACTCAATCCTTAGAGATGCTTTCTTTTAAGTAGGTTACCTTTTAGAATTATTTTATAGAAGATTTATATGGCTCGGAATAGATTTATAGAGAAGTTTGGTTTTTATTTTATTATGAACTTGGTATATTTAAGTTAAATGTTGTATATAATTTTGCTTTGATTTTTTCTCCATTGGTAAAAATATGCACGCTTCTAATTTCTTATTTAGGTTTTAGTGACATCGAACTATTGTTAAAAGATGTAAAAATTGTCGCCAACTCTAACGGTGCTGTTAAGATAGCTGTTTCTTCCTTTCCAGTTTTAGCTCAAGTTTATTTACGATTATATTTTGAATAATTTGTTATTTGTTAAAAGTTTTTCTTACTTTAATATCTATTTTATTTAATTAATAATTCTTAAAAACATAAATTGTGCTTAATTATATAAAATAAATACAATACACATATTATTTATAAAAAAAATATTTTATTCAAAGGTTGTTCTAACAACTAGGGGGTCTTCAATGTTAAATAGCTTGAATTCGTTTTGTAAAGCAAATTGTTACAACGCAAGCCTTATATTGGGTATAAATCTCGAAAAAGTGAATGGTGAAAATACGAATGGTGACCTAGGAAAAATAGCCAGGGACATGGCTATATATTGTGCCGCACAAGATATTCATCTAGATCTTCTATCCACGTTGCCTTATTATCTTACTGAATTTAATAATAACGAATTAGGTTTAGTCCCCATATCTACTGCCTTTACCAAGTTTGACGATGGCAATATAGGTAGTTCATTATTTCTCTTCAATCAACTCAACGTAAAAGCTACTAGGAAACATATCATTCCTATGTTACAAAAATATTTGGTAAGCTAATTTAAAACAACATCTTGCTTAGAAATATTTTTTAAGTTTATGGAAATAGGGAAAAATTTTTCTTTCAGAAACATCAAAGTTTAAAAAAAATAAATTGTGATCTCCGATCACAAAGATTGGATTCTTAAGACCCCTGGCATAGTACAGCATGCTCTCAAATTTTGTGTCAATGTTTAAGCCATTTTATTTAAAAAGTAAATAAAAATAATGGTATAATTTATTTGTAGCAATATTCAATTTAGAATATATTTTAATAAATATTGCATGAAACTAAGATTTATAATTTCTTTATAATGATATTTTTTAATGAATATTAGATGTTAATCGTCGTTGTGATTGTGAAAATTATTGTCGTTATGTATATTTATCAATTTAACTGTTTATACTTTAACGAATAAAAGAATTTTTGTTCATTACTTTTTAAGTTGATTAAATAAATAAGCTCGCTAGTAGTTTAATATACTCTCAGATGAGTTAATTAAATATGCATGATTTTATATAAATATAAATTAATAATATTCCATAAAAATGAATATTTAATATTATAATCCCCAGCAACACATTCAAAAATGATATAAATTAAAAACTATTCTTCTTACTAAAAGAGTATTAATTATAAGCACATTACCTTAATCTATTTAAACCAACAACTAAAATTGGATATATAAACTTTCCAATTGTTTGTATATATAGAGGTCTATGTTATATTGCTATTAAAAAGATTCTTAGAAAAATCTATTTTAGTGGACTTTAGTTAAAAAAAAATTAATCTAAACTAAATGCACATCATTCCACATGGCAATATATTTAAATTAGGGTAATAAAACCGCCAAAATTTTATTTCCATAACCATTTTGTTTTTTAAATGTAAACACTTTTAAGTGAAAAAAAATGAAACTTATCGATAATTTAATAAATCACAATTCCTAAATTTTGATAAGATTGATGAAGATGAATCTTCTTTCGAGAAAAATATGATTCCCATTCCCACATTTGATGGTAATTCAATTGAGGAGGATAATGAAGAACTTGAACAAAATAAAAATGGAGTATATGATGCAGATACAGTATTTAAAATTGGAGATTATTTTAATTTGGATGATTCTAGACCTTTTGATAGTACACAACTAAACGCTAAATATACTGGTAAATTATTTATAATATATTTTATTTAAATCTAAATTATTTTAAAGGAGTACCACGTAATGACGAATCGAAATACTCATTAAGTTTTTTTTTAAATATTAAATTATTAATATTTATTATTAAATACAAATTGTAGGAGTGCTTCCCGAAAATTTTGATAATTTGGAAAATGTAGGGGTACCACTAATGAAAAGAAGCCCTGATGTAACGAATTTTCAAAATGATAACCTAATAAATTCATACGAAGAAGATTTTGGTAATAATAATCCAAAAACTTTTAACTATAATATATCGAAATGTGATAATGATAAGAATCATTTTGATTATGTAACTAACTATAATAAACCAATAAAACTCGACGATGAAATTGAAAATCTCATCGATCAAATTCAATTGTTAAATGAAGACTTAAATTCGCGCGAAGATGCTTTTCAAAATTTTGCGAATTATTCTTTGCCACAGATATCAGTATCGGATGAAAAATTAAGTCAAAATATAAAATTAATATCGGAGAGTAAAAACGACTATATTTATACCGATACTAATGATAAATGTCTCAAAACATATATAGCCAATATATTGATAAAATCAATAAATGGAAAGAATTCCCATCAACTAATATTTGAAGACAATTCCAAATTGCCTGACGAATATATATCTTCTTTAGACGTTTTAGCAAAAAAACTAGGAAATAACGCTCTAAAAAATGCTATAAACTTAAGTGAAGAAGAGGGAAATTCCGATTTAATAAACCCATACTTAGATGTAAATTTGTGTCCTAAATCCCCTTCTGTTTTAAAAAGCTTATCAAAATTGAATGGGAATTATCAAAAAAATGATTTATTTAAGCCTAAATCTATACTCTGTAGTGATCATTTAAGTTTTTCTCGCTTAATGGATGATAAAATACCAGGTGAAGCATATGTAGTAAACAGCATTGATTCAAACAATCCCTTTTTAAATGAGATCAATAATTACGATTTTAAAAATTTGTCAAATGGTGTGATTAAATTTCCAATGAAAATAGGCCATGTATTTCAAAATGACATAGATCGATATATGTTTTCAGACACAAATAAAGAAAATTTGGATATTTTTTATGATAATTTAGACAATTTAAACGGGGAAGTATATAACGAAATAGAGGATGAGCATATTGGTACACCAAAAGCTCCTTCTAAAAATGAACACTTGTTGAAATTAAAGCTATCTGACTCTATAGATATATTTTTTGATAATTCTAAAAAGGACTTAGCCATAGCACCTGAAATTAATACCTTATTAAATCAAGAAAGAGTTAATAAATACAATCCCTATAATGATTCGCAAACTTATCCGCCATCTATTAGTGAAAAGGATAATTTAAAAGAAACCATATTAAGAAACCAAATGAGTTTCCTAAGCTCGTTAAATAAATTCAATGATATTAAAGATTCACTGCAGAATGATATTGGCGAAAAAAGTTATCCTTATGAAACACCCACTCAAAATCTGTTTTACGATCATTTCGATGAAATGAACGGAGAAGTTTACGCTGAAACAATGGATAAACATTTGAACGGAGATAAAATAAAACCTTTCAAGGATGAACTATTGACTGAAAAGGTGAAATTGAAATCTTCTATTTTGATGAATCCTAAATTTTCATCATCATTAGATTATTATGCTAGTTTTCCTGCTTCATCCTACGATAAAATTACTCACATCAATAATGTAAGCAGTGAGATTAAAATTAATTTCAACTGTTACAATAAATTGGCGGAAAATACAGCTAAATCGATTATAAAAAATTTAAACCAATTTTCTTCCGAAAAATTTGATGTAAGTAAAACGTCACCGCCAGCTAAAAATTACAAAAAAGATAATACCATAGCTAGTTACAAATCTCTCGATAATTATAGCAATCCAAAATATCAGGTAAATGATTGGATTATTTATAATGATATCCCAAAACAAATTCCAAAAATTCCGATTAAGAGAGCATTTAGTGAAAGTTTATCATTCTTAGCCTGTCCTACCATAACCATAACTCCAAATAGTCCAATTATAGATAAAACTAGTGAAATTATTATTGAACATTTTAAAAATGATAAAGTTATATTTCAAAACGTTATGTTACAGCAAATAAATTCGTTTAATAATAATTTCTCCAAATCAGATATTAAGAGTGATGATGATAGTGAATTAAACTCGTCGGATAATCAGGATTACACTAAAACAGATGATTCCAATTTTGAAACAAACTCAAGGCTTTTAGATAATAAACCTGACGAGTTAAATTCTACCCAATCGAAACCTTTAACCAACCTTATTAATGAATCCTATCAAGCCAATTCAATTGAAATTCTCCGACAAGATCCTTTAATGAAGGAATTAACACTGGAAGAAGATTTATATGATCATATAAATTATAGGCTGGATTCCGAAATAATTGAGCCTTATAAACGCATATTTTCACACGGAGGTAAAAAATATTCTACATTTCGCTGTTTAATTATAATAGGGTTCTATCTCCACTTTTGGTCGAATTGAGTTGGGGTCGAAATATTATTCTTAGTGGTTTCTATTGTTGTTAAACGGCTTGATTGAGCCGATTTTTAAAAACGGCTAACTCAACAATATAGCTAAGAAGATATTGCCTAAGCATCGAGATTTCGCTAATAGATGTTCAATCCCATGTGCTATCAATGAGCAAAATCTTTAGGCCTGCATAATATTTTTCTGGATAAAATATTGAGTTAGCCGTTTTTATAAATCGGCTCAAATTGAGCCGTTTAACAACACTAGTGGTTCTTTCCTTCTCTTTAAGCTCAAAAACCCCGAAATATTAATTTTAAATGTTTTTTCTGTAGCCAAATAAAGTTCTCTCTCCTTTTGACCTATTGTTTTTATTATAGGGTTTTATTTGCTTAACCAATCATAAAATATTATTTTTATGAGATGTTAATCAAAAATATTTATATTTTAAAAATCGTTTCTTCAAATTTATAAAAGAAATTCAAGCTACATTAATTGGAAAAAGGTAGCGTTTGAGAGTTTTGTCAGTTATAGTACCTAAGATAAGGGTATATAAATTCTTAGTGAGAAAAGAAAGGAGATAAAAACAAGGCTCTTTTCCCAACTTTTTATAATATTAATGAATGTTTATAATGGTAAAATTTCAATATTCCGACAGGGATAAAACAAATACAAGTTTGGTTTTTATTTTATGAATGATTTTTTGGTTTTGAAATATTAAAAAAAATAACTGTTTAATCCTTTTAAATTCAAAACTTTCTATTTTTGTCTCCAACCCTAGTCAGTCAGACCTAGTTCTTCATTTTTACCCATTCAAATCTCATACTCTCTACTTTTACCTGAACTTCATTTGCTTCTATATATTAAATTTTATCTGACGGCCACTACTTCCATCTCCCTCTCCAAAAAACCCAGCATACTTTCTTCCCTCCTCACCTGCATTCACTCAAAACTCTCCCCTCTTTATCTAATATTTAATCCCTTATAGAAATTTATTTTACCTTATCCCCGTGGCCATTATACCCCCCCCCCTCTCCCATCCGAATTCACAAACCACTCCTATACTTTATTCTACCTTCATCTATCCTAACCTTTTACTCTTTTTATCTGAATTTATCTTCTTACTAATCTAACATCGAATTCTCATTTGCATGTAAAAAATCGAATATTATTGTTAGAATTATTCCTAAACACCAAAATCAAAATTTTCAAAAATATATCCCTTTGATAATATGATTCATTACTATTATAGAGTTATATAAAAAAATATAATCCAGAATGCGCCAAACATAAGGTCCGTGAAGTTGTAGGAACGATGTAAGGATCAATTACCAAAACCTATGCCATTATTTAGAGTCTTAATTGATCTTCAAACCAGACATCAGCGGAATCAAAGGTTATTGAGTTATAAGCAAAATAATGAGAGTGCGAAGATTTGCAGCTGTAGGAATGATTTGAGGATCAATTACCGAAATTTATATCATTATATAGCCCGTTAATTGATCCTAATTGATCTTCTATCCGGAAAGCAGCGGAATGAACCGTTACTGAGTTATGAGCAAAATAAGAAAGTGTTGGCACTTTGCCAAAACCGAAAATATAAAAGATCACGATCTGAAACTTGGCAATTATTTAGGCTTTAATTTGTGCGTTAATAATTTCCAAACTGGATATCGATATCACTAACCGCAACTGAGTTATGACTTGTTTTTATAGCGTGAAGTTGTAGGAATTTTTTTAAAAAGTGAGGATCAATTACTAAAAATTATGCCAAAGTGTGGTGCGTTAATTGATCCTCCAGAATCTTTAAACCGCATATCAACGGAATGAACCGTTCGTGATTTATAAGCAAAACAAAAAGTATTGGCACTTTGCCAAAACCGAAAATAAAAAAGATCATGTTTTGAAACTTGACAATTATGTAGTATTCAATACGTACATTAACAATCACCAAACCGGATATCGATATAACTAACCAATACCGAGTTATAACCGTTTTAAAAACGTTAAGTTGGCGGAAATATTTAAGCTGTAGGAACGATTTGGGGATCAATTACCGAAACTTATATCATTGTATAGCCCGTTAATTGATCCTAATTGATCTTCTATCCAGAAACCAGCGGAATGAATCGTTACTGAGTTATGAGCAAAATAAGAAAGTGTTGGCACTTTGCCAAAACCGAAAATATAAAAGATCACGATCTGAAACTTGGCAATTATTTAGGCTTTAATTTGTGCGTTAATAATTTCCAAACCGAATATCGATATCACTAACCATAACTGAGTTATGACCTGTTTTTATAGCGTGAAGTTTAGGAATTTTTTTAAAAAGTGAGGATCAATTACTAAAAATTAGGCAAAAGTGTGGTGCGTTAATTGATCCTCCAGAATCTTTAAACCGCATATCAACGAAATGAACCGTTCGTGATTTATAAGCAAAACAAAAAAGTATTGGCCCTTTGCCAAAACCGAAAATTAAAAAGATCATGTTTTAAAACTTGGCAATTATGTAGTATTCAATACGTACATTAACAACCACCAAACCGCGTATCCGTATCACCAACCGTGACCGAGTTATAACGGTTTTAAAAACGTGAAGTTGGCGGAATTTTTTTTTTAAAGTGAGGATCAATTACCGAAATTTATGCCAAAGTGTAGAGCGTTCGCATATCAACGGAAAGAACCATTCGTGATTTATAAGCAAAACAAAAAAGTATTGGCATTTTGCCAAAACCGAAAATAAAAAGGATCATGTTTTGAAACTTGGCAATTATGTAGTATTAAAAAAATGATTGCTCAAATTTTTAATTTTGGCAAGTTGCCAAAACCTTTCTATTTTGCTTATAACTCACGAACGGTTTATTCCGTTGGTATGCGGTTTAAAGATTCTGGAGGATCAATTAACGCTCTACACTTTGGCATGAATTTCAGTAATTGATCCTCACTTTTTAAAAAAATTCCTACAACTTCACGCTATAAAAACAGGTCATAACTCTGTTGCGGTTAGTGATATCGATATCCGGTATGGAAATTATTAACGCACAAATTAAAGCCTAAATAATTGCCAAGTTTCAGATCGTGATCTTTTATATTTTCGGTTTTGGCAGAGTGCCAACACTTTCTTATTTTGCTCATAACTCAGTAACGATTTATTCCGCTGCTTTCCGGATAGAAGATCAATTAGGATCAATTAACGGGCTATACAATGATATATATTTCGGTAATTGATCCCCAAATCGTTCCTACAGCTTAAATATTTCCGCCAACTTAACGTTTTTAAAATGGTTATAACTCGGTATTGGTTAGTGATATCGATATCCAGTTTGGTGATTGTTAATGTACGTATTGAATACTACATAATTGCCAAGTTTCAAAACATGATCTTTTTTATTTTCGGTTTTGGCAAAGTGCCAACACTTTTTTGTTTTGCTTATAAATCACGAACGGCACATTCCGTTGATATGCGGTTTAAAGATTCTGGAGGATCAATTAACGCACCACACTTTAGCATAATTTTTAGTAATTCACTTTTTAAAAAAATTCCTACAACTTCACGCTATAAAAACAGGTCATAACTCAGTTGCGGTTAGTGATATCGATATCCGGTTTGGAAATTATTAACGCACAAATTAAAGCCTAAATAATTGCCAAGTTTCAGATCGTGATCTTTTATATTTTCGGTTTTGGCAAAGTGCCAACACTTTCTTATTTTGCTCATAACTCAGTATCGGTTTATTCCGCTGCTTTCCGGATAGAAGATTAATTAGGATCAATTAACGGGCAATGGTATAAGTTTCGGTAATTGATCCTCAAATCGTTCCTACAGCTGCAAATCTTCGCACTCTCATTATTTTGCTTATAACTCAATAGCCTTTAATTTTTTTGACATTCCGTTTGAAGAATACGGGGGATCAATTAAGGTACTGAATATTGGCTATAACTAAAAAAATGATTGCTCAAATTTTTAATTTGCAAGATGCCAAAACCTTTCTATTTTGCTTATAACTCACGAACGGTTTATTCCGTTGATATGCGGTTTAAAGATTCTGGAGGATCAATTAACGCACCACAATTTGGTATAGTTTTTGGTAATTGATCCTCACTTTTTAAAAAAATTCCTACAACTTCACGCTTTAAAAACAGGTCATAACTCGGTTGCGGTTAGTGATATCGTTATCCGGTTTGGAAATTATTAACGCACAAAAGCCTAAATAATTGTAAAGTTTCAGATCGTGATCTTTTATATTTTCGGTTTTGGCAAAGTGCCAACACTTTCTTATTTTGCTCATAACTCAGTAACGGTTCATTCCGCTGCTTTCCGGATAGAAGATCAATTAGGATCAATTATCGGGCTATATAATGGTATAAATTTCGGTAATTGATCCTCAAATCATTCCTACAGCTGCAAATCTTCGCACTCTCATTATTTTGCTAACTCAATAATCTTTGATTCCGCTGATGTCTGGTTTGAAGATCAATTAGGATCAATTAAGACTCTAAATAATGGCATAGGTTTTGGTAATTGATCCTTACATCGTTCCTACAACTTCACGGACCTTCAAACATTAAATAGGGAATAAACTTCAAGAAAACATACATTTTCAGATTAAAATGCATTTTGAGAACTATAATACTCTATATTAGAGAGGGGGGAGGGGTTATTCGCTTCTTTTGAATGAATTGAATGTGAATAATTTATTATTCGATTCGTATTAATTTGTCCTAAGCCTAGTTTGAACCATAGATGGAACATAAAAAAGCCTTTTACTCACTCTTATTGACATAATGATTTTAAAATCACTTTTTTGCCATTTTCATAAAAAAAATAGTATATAAAAAAAAAGATAATTGGCATAGTTTAAGTATATCAAAAATTTAAAAAAAAAGTTTAAATATCTTATAGTTTTAGTCAGAGAGCGATAGTGTTTTAAATGGCTATAATTAATCCAGATGTAGATAGAACACTATATTAATCAAGTAGCGATATTTTAGGATTTTTTTGATCATGTAACAGGATACTTTGAGGACAACAAAAGTACACCCATTGTATGTCTCTATGCGTGTTATTTGCCATGCCGCTCTACCCCCAATTACGAATATATAATGGAACAATTATTCTTGTAAATTTATAGACAAATATTAAAATTAAAAAAAAATATCCATAGTTACATAGTAAAAACTCTGCATATACTAGTCGAGGATGATTATATAATAATATTTTTTGAGGGATCAGCGCCTAAAAACCTATTACCTAATTTCAGATGGTTGTTGAAATATTATCGACTATTGGAACAAAAGTTTGATATAGTGTTAACATAATTTATTTATTTATGTCGTTCATTTATAAAATTTTATGGGAAGGCAAGGATATGAAGTTTTGCTTGATCAAAATGTTAATTTTTGCAGAAACTACTTTAAAAAGAATGGTAAGTTACCCTCAAGATTATTGAGCAGTAATGACGAAGACGAAGTTACTTGCCTACAAAAAAAATTGAGTTTGAGTACCTTGACACATCTACGAAAGTTTAAAAAGAATCTATCAATAATTTCTAACTATTATATTTTTAGATTGAAAAAAAATATAAAAAGTATTTATGTGGTGCATCCCAGTTTATGGTTTCGTACGGTTTGTTATATGTGCAGACCCTTTATGGTGTAAGATCTCATTATTATAAATATATCAAAATTTGTAGATTAACATAAATCGAAAATAATTTATAATATTTTAAAAACAATAAATGGGAAAACGATTAGTAAAATTTAGTCTATTCTCTCATTATAGTTAGTTTTTTTATCGTCTAGTTTTCAGAATGAGTAATTAATAAATTAATTATAGAAAACAATATCATATATTAATTCATTTTTTTTCCTATGTCGTTATATAGATCCAAATTTTGGCAAAAATTAAATTTTGTCAACTCTCTCAAAATTTTAAAAGAAAATATTCCAACTTTGGACTTAAATTTTTTGCCAGATCAACTCTTAAGGTATTAAAATTATTATCTATGATAATATCATTTTGTTTTATTAGCTATGATTCGAAATTATGAACCAAATCACGAAATAAACATTCTAATTTAATTTTTTTTGTTTTATTGTATTCCAAGTGGTACATTATATTAATTTATCGTAAATCTTATAACACACATTTTTTGTATATCATGCATAAATAACGGAGAGACCTTATATAATCATCTTTTAACGATTTTTGAATTATTATTTTTAAAAAAATTTATAGGAAACTAAACTAACTATGGACAAATGATTGTTAAAATTTGATTTAAGCCTTTTTTAGTTTTTAGATATATATTATTTAACGTATTCCATTGTCATAATTGTAATTTGTTTAAATTCTAATCTTATCTCAAAAAATATACAGATATTAGATCGTACTAATATTTATATTACTATATTACTATATAAAATTATCAAATTATTTATAACTACATCACATTCACCCCAGTAACTGAAAAAATCGGGGTCACATATATATAATTTTATCAAAATTTAATAAAGAAAAATTACAATGCAAGATTTGAATATGAAGGTTTTTAATTTCAGAAAATAATTTTCATTGTCTTTGCCGACTTACGATAAGACCTGTAATACTGATGAGGTAATAAATTAGAGCTATATTATATGATCTAGGCATTTCTACACCCCGATTTAACCAATAATGACATTAACCCCCTAATGTAATATAGCAAAGAATTTAAATATCTTGAACAAAATTAACAAAAAACAACCCCCCCCCCTCCAAACTTCTTTGACATGCCTTCTAATACCTTTACTCCTACCATATTTAATTTTAGTGAAGATCTTAATTCATCACCAACGTAGTAAAAGTACATGTAATAATCTATTAAAATGCAAGATGTATTGGATTTCAATACAACTTAATTAAAGGGTACTATATAAATGCTCGGTAGAATAATTAAAATGTGCAGTTATGAAATAATTAGTTGCACAGTTTTGAAATTAATTAAATGCACAGTACTTTATTCTGTTAAGTTTTTAAAATTATTTTTAAAAATTTACCCATTAAAATATAAGTATTTAACCCCCATTTTTCTTGATAAATATTAACCCTAACTTTCATATGACCTAACTTTGACCTTACTCTCTTTCCTAAGATACATGTTCAAGAGAGTTAATTGGGCAAATAAAATATTATTTAAAAAAAAATTAATTTCCAGAACGATATTTAAGTTTTTTTTATTAATATAAAAAAAGCTGCTCATTTTAATTAAAAAACTATGCAGATAATTTAAAAAACAGCGCGGATTTAAAAAAAAACTGTAAAAATAATATATAAAAAAACTGCATTTTAAGACTTTGAATTTTAAAATTGTATTGAGTCAGATATCATTAGATCTGGATGATAAAAATCTTTAAGATAAATGACGTTTTAAATTTGATATTTGTGAAAAAGATTTAATATGTGATAAAAAAATGACCGACATGAAATTTAAAAATCAAACATGCTACTCCAACCCTTTTTTTTAAAAATATTGGGGCCATCATTTGCCTGCCCTTCTCACATATATAAAATTTAATTCTTGCAAAATTATTAATTCATTGGATACATCTATATTTTATTTAACCAAGGGTTGAAAAAAAAATCTTCAAAAATTTTTTGAAGATTTTTTTTGCCTAAAGTTTTAAGCAAAATATATTTGAAGATCTTAGAATTAAAGATTTTTTTAAAAAAGATCGAAATCACATTTTTAAAAATTTATGATTTTAATATGAAAGATTTTTTATGCGTAAAAATCACAAAAATTTACTTATAAAAGATTTCTTACAAAAAAAAATCGAAATTTTAGGTAAATCAAAAAACCTGTTTGAGCACTCTCAAAAAAATCTTCGTTTTACAAAAATCTTATTTTAAAATTTTTCAAAGATCAAAATTTTTGAAGATTTTTTATTTTGAAGATCATTTTAAACTGTTTAGCACATTTTCTATTGACATCGCAAAATCTATCTTGAAAAATAGAAGAGCGTTTATAGCATGTTATAATAAACTTCAACCTAGAGAAGCTTCTTTAGGCACTACAATTTCCACAATGATTACTCATTAAAATTATTAGGTCAACAGATATATTTGAAAAAACGGATTGATTCTCTATATTTATTCAGGAGGGGGCTAATGAATTGACCCTTTTTAAAAAGTAAATTATAATAAATACCTTTTGGTTTCTATATGATTGAGTTATAAGTTATCAAATATTAAATCCTTGTTGGATTTGATAAGAAATTTATATCATTTTCCGCCTACAGATTATTTATCGCATAATTTTTTTCAGAAAATTTGCCCTCGATTTTTGATTGCAATTCTCGAGCTTTTATAAGGACTTGATCCTTGAATCGGTAATATAATCATTTACAGTTTTTTTTATCATGGGGGTAACAGATGGCAATTGAAGTTATATGTAAATTTTAAAAGTTTTTCTCATTTAAAATACTATACTGATAATATTGAAGTATTCTAGGAAACTAAATATACTTATAACTAGTGGTGAAAATAAACGCGTTCATATTTAAAGCATTTTTAATAAAATTCGTTTTTTTTAAAAAATGTTTCTTAATCAATTTAAAATTTTCATTTAAAAAAAATCATAACAATTATTTTTCTAGCTGTTTCTTTCAAACATTTTTCAGCACTGTTCCCTAATTTGAAATGGTATATGTTTTATATTATACTAAATTTGGTAGATAAAAATCAGTTTGGAACGTGGACTAATTCTGAATATTTTTCTAAAGGGTTCTCGGTTCCTAAAAAAGATCAAAATGGGATTATTGTTCCGGTTCTTAGTTTGATGTGATTCTAAGAGTTCCGGGCTCAACTCTCTTAATAAGCAATGAAGAATTGATTCCATGTATAACACATTCATCCCACACGCTAGATGAGTTTATGACTTTAATTATACTTGCCTAGTATAGATTAATTTTTTTTGCAATTTCTTCCAATTAATGTAATTCCTGTCTATAATTTATAAATTTTATTCAATAAAATAAATGATGTATGTTTTCTCGGTTTTAATATTTTACCCCATATGCCATCCCATCTTATCGAGGCATGGTGGCAAAAACGACTAAATCTCAACGTCCAGGTGAAATAAAAAACCCCAATTTTTTTTGTAGCCTAATGTTATACTAACATATACAATTATAAAATTCCGCTTGGGCTAAATAAAAAATTTATTGCAAATAGTTAAATCTTGATTTAACCCCAGTCTTCTACACATTATTTCTCTGTTACATGGAGTCCTACCTACATAATTTTATATTTAAAAATTTTTTTTTGAATTTTCCTTGTCGAGTTAGAATTAATAGTGGAGAAAACTTAGATATTTTCTAGTACCGAAAATCATTATCAAGGGTAAGAGTAGATTTGTTGTGGCGTCTAAGTTTAACTATCTTATTCTTACTATACACACTGGTCTCAGAAGTTATGACTTTTTAAATAAATATTTTTTAAAGTTCAGCTCAAAAATTATTTAAATTTTCTTTGCTAAGAGATAATGTCAGGGTCAACTTTTGTTATATCACGAAGTTAGAACTCCTTTCTAAAATTAAAAACTATCCAGTTGAAAAGAAAATAGTTAAAAAATTTATATTTTCCTTTAGGGCTAACTTCCTCTTAAGCTTTGAGGTTTTAGAAATCTTTGACATAGCAGACTCAAAACAGAGAAATCAAAAGAATCCTTATTGATTTTAAAAACATTTAACTTTTCAAAGATATTAGATGAAATATTATGTTAAATAATTGAGAAGACATCATATTGAGTCAGGCTCGGATCATTTGACTTCAAACCTGACCCAATTTATGGCTAACTTAATTTGACTGAGCAATTTAACAACACTATCGGCAATTCCATTAGCTCATGTCAAAAACGTTTTCAGCATAGGGAATTCCACAAAGAGCTCGAGCCTATCAGATGAAAATTTAAAAAAAAAATATATAATTTTTTACCATTAGTAAATATTAGATAAAATAATATTGAATTTAACAGCTGACTACATTTTAATAAAATTGAACTAACATACATATACTTAAAAATTATATGTATAAATTTTATTGATTAACATTGTTTTTTAAAAAAATACTATAAATTTATGTGATTAGACTAAACTTTTATATTTTATTCATGTTTTATAATAAAAAAATAAGGAAATCCTACTTATTTTCTTCGTTTATTTGGTTTTTATTTTTCAAAATATTTTTATGGGTATATCAAAAAAGATATGTTATGAATAATTTAAAAACCCAACTTATAAAATAAAACCCAGAATGAACTGAATTTCTTTTAAAAACTAGACCCCAATATTATTATAAACAGAATGCAACTTTACGATTTTAAAATAAGAACAATGCAACTGAAGTTAAATATAATGGGTGGACACCCTAGAGCTGCATTGGGCAAGGTTTCGGTCCGCCCGCCCAAGCCCGGGTAAAAAAATTTTCGAGAATGGGCAGGCGGGCGGGTTAAAAAATTTGAAACTATGGGCGGGCTAGGCGGGCGGGTTAAGAAATTTAAACAATGGGCGGGCGGGTTAAGGAAATTTAAAATTTTTGTTCAAAAAAACACTAAAATAAATAATTGTTTAAATGATCTATAACAATATTTCTTTTTTTAATGTACCAATCGTTTTTTAAGTGAAGAACATTTACCTAACTATATTATGTAATAAACACAACAATAAAACTTTTTTCTTTAAATAAATAAACATTTTTGTTTATTAAAAATTTCCTTTTATGGGAATGTAATAAAACTTTCCTCTTAAAATTTCCTTTTTTTGGGTTTGCAATCTGCATTTGTTTTCACTTTTATTTAAAGATCTCACTTGAGGAAGAGGATATACTTCAAACGGATATCCTACTTTGGTGGATACGGCAAGAAAGAGATTTGCCAAAGCTATCAAGATTAGCAAGAAAAATATTGGCAATTCCTGCAACTAGTGCTTCTTCCGAACGCGGATTTAGCATTGCTGGAAGATTTTTAGAACAAGAAGAACGTGTTTGAATCCAGAAAATGTCGATTCATTATTATTTTTGCATTATAATTACATATAATATTAATTTTACAATTATATTTTTTCATAAATATTCAATTTGATCAAATAAATTGTCCATAATTTACATTGATTATTTTTATACATATTAATTTCCTAAATTATAAACTTTTTCTAGAGGTGTAATGTTGAAATATTTTTATTAGATGCTTAAAAAAAATGAAAGAATGACCATAATTAAATTTTATAAGCGGGCTTGGGTTAAAATATTTTATAAATAATGGGCGGGCGGATAAAAAATTTTAGACTAATAGGCGGGCGAGCGGGTAAGGAATTTTAGAATGAGCGGGGCGGGCGGGTATATATTTTTTTGAAAACTATGGGCAGGCGGGTTAAATTTTTTTAAAACATTGGATGGGCGGGCTTTTGGTCGAAAAACCCGCCCAATGCAGACCTCACACACTAATTATTACTTATTTATTTATATTAAATACATTTAAAAATTATAAGTATATGAACATTTAACAATCATTATCAATGAAACATTCTCAATAAAGCTAAATTTTTTTTAGAAATTTAAAATAAAAACTCAATTGAAATATGAGTATTACCTTCCCTAACTATATATATATATTATTTTCGAAAATGTAAAGAAATATTAGCAATATTTTACAAATTAGAACCTAACATATAAACTTCCCCTATTGGTAACTTAAATCCCCTAACTGATTCAAATCTTCTTGCATTAACTAGTCAGTTATGAGGCAATGTTATTGGCTTTTTTTTTAAACAGATAAGCTTTGTATACTAAAAAATTTCTAATACAACATATTTCTATTATTTCCCCATTTCAAAAACATTCATGGTTTTCTTTTTTATTATATATCTTTTTAAAAATTATTATTTATATAACATTTATCTGTTTTTTTGTTTTATTATAAGCCCTAGCTAGGATTAGTGATAAAATTGTTTTTGTCAAAAAAAAAAACAATACATCTATTTATTAGGTATTTTTTTCAAAAGTAAGTAAATTATAGGTAGGCCTGTGCGCCGACGCGACCGGCGCAATTTTTAAAAAATTTAATCGACGGCCGGCGGCGCGCCGATTTTTAGCCGCCGTCAATAAAATCGGCGTAAATCGGCGCATATATAAATTTTTATAAGATAAATTTTTTAATTGCTTATTAATTTTAAAAAATAAATAAATATACACTATTTTACAGATATCTCGGCATATTTTTTAATATTCATTTAATAGAAAACTTATTATATCCAAAATCGATTTCGTAATTTTATAATTATCATGTATAAAAATTATTTTATTTAAGTTTTTGGGACATAATGATGATCTCTTGATATTTAACGTCTCCTGCGGTAGAGAAAACTCTATGAATGTCGTTTTCCAAGAAAACTGTGGCATTCTTGTTCTAAGTCACCTAACTTGGAATCATAATTTATATTTGTTGAATGTTTATTTGCCAATTTTGTCAAATAACTTGAATTTAATAATTCATCTTCATCCTCACTAGCTATATTTACTATCTGATTATCATCATTCTCAATAAGTTTAAGATGTTTTATTATAAATTCTTAATCTGAGCAATATTGCTCTATTAATTGACATAATTGTCAATTTTTAAAATCTTGGATCTAAAAGAGAAGCCAATACCTAGATAATTTTAAATAAAAAATAAAAGAATATACTTAATAATATTACTTGCAGATTACAAACCGGAAATGGCAACGCATGTTTTTTTAGCATATTTTCCTTAAGTGATTAACTATCACTATTACTTACTATTAAATGTGTTTCAATTTCACTTCTAAAAAGTAACGCCAAATTTAAAGTAGACCCTTTTGTACTGAAATTCGACAGTTTCTTTAAATTTTGAAAGAAATGCTAATAGTTTTTCTACTAGATCAGATTCATAATTTGAGAAAGTGCTTCCCAATTCTTTTCAAAACATTATTAATTAAATTCTTATTTAATCCAGATATGCTTTTTAGCATAATTAATATACTATGCCAACGTATTGGGATATTTAATTTTAAGGTTTTCATAAGCGTGGAATTATTATTATCATTGGAATTGCCAATTTGAAAACGGGTATCCGGGTATGGATCAATGCTGTCAAGATCTAACATGTCTGATGTTAAATCTATTGTACTTAGGCATTTTCTTTGATATTCCTCGAATTCAAATTTAACCTCTGCAGTTTTATATCTTAGAGCAGTAATAATTTATCTAATTCTTTTGCAAAAAATTTCCAGACTACGGATTTTTTATTATCCAGAGTTAGGATACTAAAATTATTTATAAAATTATTAAAGTAGATGCATCCATTTTAAAAATATGTAAAATTATGGTAACTTTTGGAATTTTAGATTTTTGATTGATTGAATTCTATAATGACGTCAATACAACTATGATTTTAAAATGGTAGAAAATAAAAATTCATTCAAAATCCTTATTATTAAAAAATTACAAGAGTGATGTTGACCAATTATTAGAATAAAAAGGTAGAAAGAAATTTCTACGCCGGCCGTGCACAAACGGTAGCGTTTTCGGCGTAACCAAAAAGGTCGGCGGCCGGCCAACGGCCGCCCGCACAGGTCTAATTATTGGTAAAGTTTTTAATGACTGTACTTTTGTAATAGTAAAAAATTTATGAAAACGTTCCATTGTTAAATTCATCGAAGAAACGAGATATTTTATAGTTCCGCCACTGATGGTGATATTTGCAATGATATTCTTTTAAAATAAATTAAACATAAAAATCCATAAATAATAAAAAAGATGTTTACATTTTTTAAAAAAATGTAATAGATATCAGACCTTCATTGGTACCATTTGCATGGCCTGGCTCAAATTCTTCAGCCAGACCTGGATTTTTTAAAAATATAATAAATTTTTATAACTAATAATGGCCTGGCCCTGGTATATTTTAAAAAAATTTAGGCCTATGGGTATTTATAAAAAAAAAATTTTTAAGCCCTACTGGGGATATTTAAAACAATAAAATGCTTCTGGCCAGTGTACAGAACCCAGGCTGGACTTAGGGCTGGGCCAGCAAGTCTCTGATAATATGATCACAAAATTAATACATCTGTTAAAATAAAATGATTTACCAAATAAAATATATGCAAAAAAAATGGAAACTTCAACATGCACAATATGACAAAATGGGTAAGTCACTGAAACTCGAGGAAATTTTTAATATTATTTTATTTTTTAAATATTTATTAAAAAATAATAAATATGCGATCAGACAAATCTTAAAATTTATTTTTTCAAGTTATTACAATCTTAATGAAAATGGATATGATCATTACTCGGTCAACATAGCAAAAACTTAATAGACCAAAATAATATATCAACCATACTCAACATATTGAGCACTCATGGAGGGATCTTAGGCAAAATCCCTAGAAGTGGAAGAAAATCTTCCTCTCATTTATATATGTGAATATTCCTATTTTTGTAATGTTAAAAATATGTTCAAATTTAAGTAAATTAATTAAATTTTTAAATATAAATTTATATATAACTATTTTTGTTTTTCCTTAAAAAATATATATAACTATATTAACATTGTTTATATATTATGTTTATTCAAATAATTTGCTTAATTATCTAGTATTTGATTTAATAGTCCAAACTTAGTAGTGTCCAATATAGCAGATGCCTTTTAAATTTTTTAAATAATATACTCAATTTGTAATGTAAAATTAGAGAATTGTAAAAATTTTCACAAGAAAATAATATGCAATTCTTAAAATATTTAGTTATGTAACTTTGAATTATTATTACATCAAAAAATTTCCACTCATATCCATATAATCACATATCTATTATTTTTAAATAAAAAAATTTCCCCAAGTTTCAGTGACTTACCATAAAATGAATTATATCATTAAAAAGATATAATTTTTATCTATTTGCTTGCTTTTTAAAAAATACCCAGCAATGTGTGAGCAAAGCATGCTTACTATAAATAAGGCCTATATAATCAAAAGATTTTTTTTGTTTATATAGTAAAGAAATAACCCATATTATAAATATTTTATTGTTAATAAGTTTTTTCAATTAATTTTTTTCAAATTTTCTTAAGAATTAAAATTAGAAAAATAAATATTTTTCTCATAACTATGAAATATCTCCATTCTTTTCTTTATTGTATGAAATATCAAGCATATTGATGTTTATAGTTAATTTTTTACAATTAAAATCAATATTAATCACCAATAACTCTAAATTTATTATAATTTGCACCAAGCATTATAAAATAAATATGCCAATATATTAAAATCTACATATTAGTTTTTGATTAAATTCAAATATAAGGCAGCAATTTCTTCTTTACTTTGCAATTTTTCAAGTCCCTATACAAAAAATAAAATGAATTTATAGGCTAATAATGATACAATATGATTTTCTGGGTTTCCATTAGTTAATCTAATATCTCTTTTTAACATAGGCCTATTAAAATAACCAGCAACGTGTCGCGCATTTGGCTAAAATACTACTATGATCAGTAATTGATAAAAAGATACCTTATGAATAAAAACAAGATGAATTGCTGGTAGTATGAAAGCTGGAGCCACAAAAAATGTGGCGTACAAGACAAAACTTGGAACTATTTCATACCATCCCATAAATTTAACTTTAAATTACTATTTTATTATAATTGAAAAGTGACTGACCATTTTGACATTGAAAGATGTTTAATGTTAAAAAAAGAATCCGATAATAAAAATTTATTAATTAATATAATATAAAATAATTTTAGTGTTTTGGCTCGTATCTGTTATTAATAACATTTAAACTATTTATCCATAAAATACTACGGTTTAAATCACCAAGGCAATTTTAATTTAAAAAATATTAAATATATGAAAATGGTTAAGAGATTATATCAAAAAATAAG